CTAAATAAATCTCTCGCAGAAATATGACGATACGCATTTTTCTACAGTGTTGTTTTCAGTGTTAATTAAACTTCACCTTCCTGGAATCGAAACTAATTATCATATAGAGTCCGGCCATCCTGTATTTACATTTAGTCTGACTTGCCTTTATCCTAAATTCTTGGCCACCCAATTTCTTTTATTTTGATATTGGAATCCTTACGTTTTAAAGGCACATTATGCCTCCGTAATCAGTTAATGTTTCATTGTGCAGAACATGCAAATATGTGTTAAATTATGTTGTAATAATTGATTTAGAACATGCAATTTATTTCACATTCAACATTTGAGCCGTGTCACGACAAAACCAACATAATGGGTTTGCGACCAGCATGGATCCAGACCAGCCTGCGCGGATGCGCAGTCTCATCAGGATCCATGCTGTTCGCTATCAGTTTCTCGACTTGTAAAAGGGTTGGTAAGCGAACAGCATGTATCCTGATCAAACTGCGCGGATGCGCAGGCTTGTCTGGATCCATGCTGGTCGCAAACCCATTATGTTGGTTTTGTCGTGACACGGCTCAAATGTTGAATGTGAAATAAATTGTGATGAAGGTAGAAAAAAAAATGTATTTTGACTTCCATACAAAATACTTATTCATTATAAATGTACTAAGTACCAAATACGCAAAAGAAACAACAGATGGTTCAGAAATATGACAAATGGATAACTTTTTGGATACTGTATCATGACACCAAAATAAATAGGTTTTGAAAATTTAGAATTATATCATTTATGTTTATGAATGGGCCTTTAAACGGATTGTTTAGAATTCAAAGTAGGCCAAATCCAATACACAAAGACAATAGTTTAAGGGTTAATAATTGCCATTTTTCAATCTTATAATTTTACATATCATAATTATTGAAAATACATAATTCATATAATAATGTATATGGACAATAATTGATATATAAATGTCATGTTGAGTTCGTTACGTGATATATAATACAAAACTGCATATGTTTTATTTATGCTTGATCAGAACTATTGTATTACATAATGCTTTTTTGTGAGATCTTCATTAAACAAATTGTCGTAGTTTGCTTAATTCACTGAAAATACATCTATTCAATTAAGTGTCAAAACATACAATATTTCCCCATGGCTCTGCAAATAACATAAATGAGCCGTGTCATGACAAAACCAACATAATGGGTTTGCGACCAGCATGGATCCAGACCAGCCTGGGCATCCGCGCAGTCTGATCAGGATCCATGCTGTTCGCTATCTGTTTCTCTACTTGTAATAGAGTCGGTAAGCGAACAGCATGGATCCTGATTAGACTGCGCGGATGCGCAGGCTGGTCTGGATCCATGCTGGTCGCAAACTTATTATGTTGGTTTTGTCATGACACGGCTCAAATATTTTATTGTCTATTGTCATGCCCATCAACGAAGCGCTCCAATTGTCCCGCCTATAAACAAGGTGTAGACTTCAACAAATGGCCATATTGCCTAACCCAGAACCTATGTGGCTACGTTCAACGTATGTTAGAAGTTAGCAGTTAACAGTGAGCTAAGCAAAAAGGCATTACGATTTATATAGGGAAATCAATGACCTGTTGTTATGCTCAGCTGGGTAAGCAATCTAGCAGAGCATTCCGAAATAAAGTGTAGAAATGCTTTGCTGGTATGCTCAGCTGGCTAGGCAATATAGCAGGCCGTTCCTAAATAAAGTGTAAAACTGCTCTGCTGGTATGCTCAGCTGGCTAGGCAATCTAGCGGGGCGTTCCAAAATATAGCGTAAAAATGCTCTACTGGTATGCTCAGCTAGCTAAGCAATCTAGCAGGGCATTCCAAAATATAGTGTTAAAAATGCTCTGCTGGTATGCTCAGCTGGCTAGGCAATATAGCAGGCCGTTCCTAAATAAAGTGTAAAAATGCTCTGCTGGAATGCTCAGCTGGCTAGGCAATCTAGCGGGACGTTCCAAAATATAGCGTAAAAATGCTCTGCTGGTATGCTCAGCTGGCTAAGCAATCTAGCAGGGCATTCCAAAATATAGTGCAAAAAATGCTCTGCTGGTATGCTCAGCTGGCTAAGCAATCAAGCGGGGCATTCCAAAATATAGTGTACAAAATGATCTGCTGGTATGCTCAGCTGGCTAGGCAATCTAGCAGGGCATTCCTAAATATAGTGTAAAAAATACTCTGCTGTTATACTCAGCTGGCTAAGCAATCTAGCGGGGCATTCCAAAATATAGTGTAAAAATGCTCTGCTGTTATGCTCAGCTGGCTAAGCAATCTAGCGGGGCATTCCGAAATATAGTGTAAAAATGCTCTACTGTTATGATCAGCTGGCTAAGCAATCTAGCGGGGCAGTCCAAAATATAATGCAAAAATGCTTTGCTGTTATGCTCAGCTGGCTAAGCAATCAAGCGGGGCATTCCAAAATATAGTGTACAAAACGATCTACTGGTATGCTCAGCTGACAAGGAAATCTAGCAGGGCATTCCTAAATATAGTGTAAAAATGCTTAGCTGTTATGCTTAGCTGGCTAAGCAATCTAGCGGGACATTCCAAAATATAGTGTAAAAATGCTCTGCTGAATTGCTCTGCTGGCCAGGCAATCTAGAAGGGCATTCCTAAATATAGTGTTAAAAATGCTCAGCTGGCTAGGCAATCCAGCAAAGAATTCCTAAATATAGTGTAAAAATTCTCTGCTGGTAAGCTCAGCTGGGAAAGCAATCTAGCGGAGCGTTCCAAAATATATTGCGAAAAATGCTCTGCTGGTATGCTCAGCTGCCTAAGCAATATAGCAGGGCATTCCTAAATATAGTGTTAAAAATGCTCAGCTGGCTAGGCAATCCAGCAAAGCATTCTAAAAATTAGTGTAAAAATGTTCTGCCGGAATGCTGAGCTGTCTAGGCAAACTAGCAGGACATTTTTAAATAAAGTATACATTTCGTTGGTCTGCAACTGATTATTTGGCACTCGTAGACTTTCTGAAATATTTAGTGCCAATGCAAATAATGACATTTTTTACTTCTACGGGACCCTATTGCTTTGGTCTTTGACTTATTCTAGGACGATCGCAGACTTTCAGGAATTTTTGGTGTAAATGCAGATAATGACATTTGTGAATTTTTAGGACCATCCAGAGTCCATTTCGTTGATCTGCGAATGTTTCTGGAACACTCGCAGACTTTCAGAAATGTTCGGTGCCAATGGAGATAATGACATTTTTACTTCAAAAGGACCCTCCTGAGTCTATTTCGTTGGTCTGCGGCTGAATCTGAGTCACTCGCAGACTTTCAGAATTTTGGTGTCAATGCAGAAAGTGATATTTCTGACTTATCCGGACCTTCCTGAATCCATTTGTTTGGTCTGCGACTTATTCTTGGACAGTCACAGACTTTCAGGAATTTTTGGTGCCAATAGAGATAGTTACAATTTTGACTTTTTGACCATCAAGAGTCTATTTCGTTGGTCTGCGACTGATTATTGGGCACTTGCAGACTTTCAGGAATTTTTGGTGCTAATGCAGATAATGACATTTTAGATAAAAAATGTTCTGCTTATGACTTAGGGGTCCATAAAAGTAAAAAATGTCATAATCTGCAATGGCACTAAACATCCTGAAAGTCTGCGAGTCTCAAAGAATCAGTCGCAGACCCAAGAAATGTACTCTGGCGGTTCCCTAGAAGTCAGAAATGTCATTATCTCCATTGGCATCAAAATTCCTGAATGTCTGCAAGTGTCCAAAAATCAGTCGCAGACCGGCGAAATGAACTCTGGTGGGTAGCTAGAAGTCAAAAATGTCATTATCTCCATTGGCACCACAGATTCCTGAAAGTCTGCGAATATCCCAGAATCAGTCGCAGACCATACAAATGGACTCTGGCAGGTCCCTAGAAGTAAAATTGCCATCATCTCTATTGGCACCAAACTTTCCTGAAAGTCTGCGAGTGTCCAACAATACGCTGCAGGCCAATGAAATGGACTCTTAAAGATCCCTAGAAGTCAAAAATATGATTATTTCCATTGGCACCAGCCATTCCTGAAAGTGTGCGAGTGTCCGAGAATTAGTTGCAGACCAACAAAATGGACTCTTGAGGGTCCTTAGAAGTCTACATTGTCAATATCAGCATTGGCACCAAAATTCCTGAAAGTCTGCAAGTGTCCCAAAATCAGTCGCAGACCAGCGAAATGAACTCTGGTGGGTCGCTAGAAGTCAAAAATGTCATTATCTCCATTGGCACCATAGATTCCTGAAGGTCTGCGAATGTCCCAGAATCAGTCGCAGACCATAAAAATGGACTCTGGCAGGTTCCTAGAAGTAAAAGTTGCCATAATCTCTATTGGCACCAAACTTTCCTGAAAGTCTGCTAGTGTCCAACAATACGCTGCAGGCCAATGAAATGGACTCTTTAAGGTCCCTAGAAGTCAAAAATATGATTATTTCCATTGGCACTAACCATTCCTGAAAGTCTGCGAGTGTCCGAGAATTAGTCGCAGACCAACAAAATGGACTCTTGAGAGTCCCTAGATCTCTAAATTGTCAATGTCAGCATTGGCACCAAAATTCCTGACAGTCTGCGAGTATCCATCAAAAGTCGCAGGACAATGAAATAGTCTTTTAAAGGTCTTTAGAAGTAAAAAATATCATTATTTCTATTGGCATAAAAAATTCCTGAAAGTCTGCGAGTGCCTCTGACGTGCCTAGAAGTCGAAAATATCAATAAAACGTTGGCAACAATAAATCCTGGAACTGAGAATCAGTCTGCCAGCTGAGCATTCAAGCAGAGCTTATTAATACTATAATTCAGAATGCACCGCAAGATTGCTTATCCAACACAGCATTTTCACACTATTTTTCAGAATGTTCTGCTAGGTTGCCTAGCCAGCTAAGCATTCCAGCAGAGCATTTTTACACTATATTTAGTAATGCTCTGCTAGATTGCCAATACAGCTGAGTATTGCAGCAGAGCAATTTTACACTTTATTTAGGAATGCCCTGC